AATCTTTGCTAATATAATAGAGATAAAATGGAATTCTGTTGTTTTCGTTTGCATTTATTTGATTATATGTGATGTTATACAGTTTTCATATATGTATTGTATTTATTTTCCTGCTGTGCTAGTCAGCCTGGGCTGCTATAACAAAATACCGTTGACGGGGTGGCTTAAGCCACAGGAATTGTTTCTCACCGTTCTGGAGGCTGGGAAAAGCCCAAGATCCAGGTCCTGGCAGATTTGATTCCACAGTGGGGACTCTTTTCTTGGATTCAAGATGGCTGGCTTTTCACTATGTCCTCACATGGTGGAGAAAGAGAGAGAGTTCTGGTCTTTCTTCCTCTTCTTATAAGGATATGAATCCCATCAGGGGGTCCCATCCACCCGACATCATCTAAACCTAATTAACTCCCAAATGCCCTCCCTCCACATACTATCACATTGGGGTTAGGGCTTCAAGACGTGAACCTTGAGGGGGCACAGACATTCAGTCCATAACAACTGTAAACTCCCCATTCAAAGTACGTTCCCTTTGAACCTACTTCCATTGGGTTGTTTGTCTTTTTCTTGCTGATTTGTTAGGACTCTTCATAAATGAAAGAAATCAGCAGTTTGGGGGTCATTTGAGAAGCGCTTCGTGTTTTCTGCTTCAGTCTTTACGTGTCGTGCGTGTCTTGGGGAAGGGACAACAGGCTGGCGGTTGACACGGCTTTGAGTTTCTACTATTTGTTGGTTTTTGTCTCTCAGCATGATTTATTCTTTGGTTTTGCTGTTTGTCACTGACTAACTGAGGTCCTGTGAGTTAGTCCTAATTTTAGGAATATTATGTCTCAGAACACTTGGAATTTTTCCCATCCTGCCTCACAGAAAACTCCGTGACCATCAGAAAAGAAGGAGGGAGGAGGGTCGCGAGGAGGACTGGGAAGGCGTAGAGGGGGGATGGGAGGTTGATGGAACTGGGAGGCTGACACGCAAAGCTCTCCTCCCTTCATTTTTTCTTTGATATTTCTTCCTTTCTTTCTCTGCATTTCCCTCCTTCCTTCCTTTCTGTTTCTCTTTTTTTCCCCTTGGCTATGTACTATAAAAATACAATTCTGGAGCATGGGGTTGGATTTCCACCATGGGGACTGAGATGGAATTTCAAGTCACTCACCGTAATTCAACTTTATAAATTAGAGAATTCTTATGAATAGAATAGGATGGAATGTGGTTTCATGTTTTCCTTCCCTAGGGACCCTGCCCAGTTTGGCAATAGGAAACTAAATTAAGGGTGGGATTAGTTCTAGGAAGTGGATTTTTAGGCTAGCTGCACGTCTAAGCCAAATATTATAGACAGTGCCTTAGTTATCTATGTTCATGAGCAATCAGGAAGTGGTGGGTAACTGAAGTCCCCAAATGTGCCAGAAACATACTTCTGCCTTTGTTTGTTTATCCTAATTTTTCTCCTACTAGACTATCAAAGTGGATTTATTACTACTCATTTTACGCTTCTGTTTTCCATCAACAACATAGGCAGGGAGGCAACATGCTGCATGAAAAAAGAAATGCTAGAGTAGGTGTTAGGAGACCTCAATTTTAGTCCTGTCGGTGCCCCTCACTAGACTGAGACATGGTCAAGTTATACAGCTTCTCAGGGCCCCAGTTTCTTCCTGTAAAAGGGACAAAAATAACCAACCTCCCAGGGTGGCTCAGGGGCCCTGTAAAGTGTGACCTGGAGCTCGTGGTGCCTATGTCATAGAGCCCGTTCCCACGCATGTGAGCTGTTTGCACAGTACCCGGCACAGAGAAGGAGCCCAACAAATGCCTGTCTGCTTTTCTTCCTTGTCCTGGAAGTACCAACAGATTGTATTAGTTTCCTAGGGCTGTCGTAGCAAATAACCACAAACTTGGTGGCTTAAAGCAACAGAAATTTATTCCCTCACAATTCTGAAGGCCTGAAGTTCAAAATCACGGTGTTGCCAGGGCTATGCTCCTTCCAGTAACTAGGGGAGAATCCTCCTTGCTTCTTTCAGCTTGCGGTGGCTCCCGGCCTGTGGCTGCAGCACCCGCGTCTCTGCCTCTCTGGTCACATGGCCTTCTCCTCTGTGTCTTCTAAGGACAACTTGTCATTGGATTTAAGGGCCACCCAGAAAGATGATCTCATCTCAAGACGCTTAACCTAATTACATCGACATTGACTCTTTTTCCAAATAAGGCCACATTTACAAGTTCTGGGGGTTAGGGTGTGGACATATACCTTTTGGGGAAGGCCACCATTCAGCCCACCACACACACTCTAGGGATTACTTTATATATCAAGACTATGGCCTGATTTTTTTTACAATCACCCAGCGAATCCACCATCGGTTTGATATTAATAAATCAGGGTATGTCAGGGAGGAGAAAAAAGAACAAAAGCTTGGTTTTTGTTTGCTGTGTTTTGTTTTATATTTATAACCCTTCTCTCCTGGGTTCCCAATTTAGTAGTGATGAGTGGAGTGTATTTGCTATTTGTGCGCCCATCGTCCTGCCTGCTGCTCACATACTGGTGGTCAGGAAACTGCAGTCCTCCTGTCGCGGAATCTTCTGTCCTGCCCTCGCTCCACTGCATCTCCCGCTGGCTCCACTCACATGACCCCTGACTTCTCGCCGTGGCTCTCTGAACGTGGCGCCCACAGACTGGCGGGCTGACATCCAGCTCTGGGCTTAAACCTCTGATGAGATGCTTGTTTGCTTCCTGGACTCCTGAGCTCTCTCACTCATCCTTCCAGTAGTCACTCCCCGAACCTTCAGGAACCCAGCTTAAGCTATCAAGGTCATGCAGAGACCCCTCTGTGCCCTGGAATATATTGAAGGAAGGTGGCCCCAATTAAACAAGCCCCATGGCTTCAAGGTAACTGAGTACCTGGGGGCAAGGACTCTACCCTGGAGCTGAGCTTTGCAGGGCTTTTAGTGACTATAGTACTGTTACAGTGGTGGCTTACTCTTTCTAAGCTCTCACCTCAGGCTCTTGGGGGGATTTCCTCATCCACACCACCCTCTGAAGTAATCTTAGCTCCATGTCTCATTCCCATGTGCTGTGAAGGGGTTCAGCCTTATCGGGTTTGTTCCACACAAAGGGGAAGGCAATCCCTGTACCTTCTCACCTCTCAGGGGTATCGTGGGGACAGAGGAGTGTAACTGTGAAAGGTCTTCAAGCTCTTGGACCAAACAATGCTGATGAATCCCGATATCTAAAAAAAAAAAAAAAAAAAAGCCAAGGTAATCTGGAAGCAATTATGCGTGTCAGATGGAAGCCTGAGGTTCACTGAAAAACCCACATTTTTTTTGAATTTTATTTTATTTTTTATACAGCAGGTTCTTATTAGTTATCTATTTTATACATATTGGTGTATATATGTCAATCCCAATCTCCCAATTTGTCCCATCACCACCACCACCACCCCCTGCCACTTTCCCCCCTTGGCGTCCATACCTTTGTTCTCTACATCTCTGTCTCTATTTCTGCCTTGCAAACCGGTTCATCTGTACCATTTTTCTAGATTCCACCTATATGCGTTAATATACGATATTTGGAAAAACCCACATTTTTTAAGGAAAGTCATAGTGTTGCTCGGTGTCCCAAGGGTAGGAAGGACATTCCAGGGGAAGGATCCAGAAGCGCTAGAGCACCTGTCTGCTGGGGGGAGAGCAGGCAGTGCTGGAGCTGCAGGTATTGGAGGCTGGGGAGACTCGAGTCCAAACTCTGCTGCAGCCACATGACTAGGGTAGGTCACAGGTCTGTGAACCTCAGGTGGGAAACCTCATCTCTGAAAGGTGAGAATGGTTGTAACCAGGGCTGCTGTGAGGACTAGAAATTACACGTGTTATCTGGCACCAAGTGGGTGCCTGAATAATTACAGCTCTTTTACCATGATTCTTCCTCTGAGGACTTCTCAAGCCCCACCCCACCCAGACAGGCAGCCAGTCCCCCCCGGGGAGCCTCCCTAGGCTTGTCCCAGCTACATAAAGCTCTTTGCTACTGGGCCAGGACATTCGTGCAACCTGGGGTGCTTTTCTCCTTGTCCTCAGGACCTAGCTTAACACTGGTATATACCTGGTGCTCAGAGCCTGTCTGCATCATGAAGGAACACAGTGCACCCACGCTTAGCAACCTGCTTGGCATGGTAGATCTCTGTGAAATGACCAGTTAAGTGAATGGGGGTGTAGAGTCACCCTCGGGATAGAACTTTAAAACTTTCTGATGTTTTTAATCTCCTGATTCATCTTGGAAGCAGGAAAGGTTATCATTATGAATTTAACAAGTATGTGTTTAGTGCCAGCTCTCTGCTTTGCACGTGGACATCCTGACTTAAATCTCTTTACAGTCCTGTGAAGTAGGTAGGTACCATCCCTCTTTAGAACACAGAGCGCTTCAGAAACCTCCCAGTCACACTGATAGAAGAGGTGGCAGGGGTGTGACTTCAGGCATCTGGTTCTAGAGCAGGGAAACCCTGGAGTTGTGTTGCCTTTACTGCATGGAGACACTGGGACATGGCCTCCTCAGCAGCTTAAGGGAAGCCCTGTCCTTCTAGCCTGGACCCGAAGGACCAGAAGGGTAAGCCTCAGTTAGGAGGTGAGGGCACCACACTGAGCTCTCCAAGGCCATGGCCCCCAAAGCCAGGACCACATACAATTTTGCTGAGCCCTATGCACTCCGGCCTTTGTGTGTCCCTTCCTTTATTAAAATATATGTGTGTATATATATATATATATATATATATATACACACACACACACATATATGTATATATGTGTATCTATATGTATACACATATGCTATACTCATTCATTCTATTTTATGACTGCATCTGCGTCTGTATGAAGACGAGTATAACCCAGGCTGGATTCTATTTTGTTTCTCAGATTTTAACACAGGCCCTGTGCCAACTTGTGCCTAACGGATAAGCCTTTCGGGTTATCCAGAGCCTCTGAGAGTGAAGCAGGAGCGGATGTTGCGGACCCCTAACCGGCCTCTGTCTCCACAGGTCCCGCAGCGGATGGCGGTGGCCGAGGGCGCTCCAGAGGACGGCGGCGGCGGCGCCCCGGGCGTGTGGGGCGCCTGGGGCCCCTGGTCCGCCTGCTCGCGCAGCTGCAGCGGCGGCGTGATGGAGCAGACGCGACCCTGCCTGCCCGGCTCGTACCGCGCACGCGGCGGACCGCCGCCCGGAGCCCCCGCGCGCGCCTTCGCAGGCCACGTGGTGTCAGCCGTGCGTACGTCGGTGCCGCTTCACAGGAGCCGCGAGGAGCCACGCGCCCCCGCCAGCCTCAACTCCAGCCGCCAGGGTCCGGCGCAGCGAGGTAGCCGGCACCCGCAGGCCCGGGGCCGCGAACCCACGGTGGAGAGAAGGTACAGGCCCTCCCGGCCCCCGCGCGCCCGCGCGCCCGCCCGCCACCATCCCTGTCCCTGTCCCTGCCCAGCCCGGATGTGCCGCGCGCTTCTCTTCATCCTAGATTGCGCGGTTAATGCCTTGCTTCTGCCAGAGGGGGAGGAATTCTTGGCTCCACAGATCTCCTTCCATCCCTTGATTTATTTTGCAGCCTTTTAAAGCGTTGAGGCCACTCCCACCCGCTCTGTGATTCTGAATTGCCTTCAAAGTGAAGCTGAGTTTCAGAATGCCCTTAGGCTCAGCCTTAGGGAGGCCCTGCGGAGGGTTGAAAGAAAGAGCTGCCTGGAGCGGGGAGACGTCTGTCCTAGTGCTCCCCTAGTGCTGAGGGAAAGGGAGATTCCTGGCCGCAGGATGTGTGGATTTGAGCTGAGGACACAAAACAAGGGGCCTTTTAACCCAAGAGCTGACATGAGTTTGGAATCCTTGAACAAGTTAAGTGTCTGGAGTCTAACTTGCTCCCAGGCTGTAGCTTTCAGGAGTCTATGAACTTTTATACAAAGTTTCTCCAAAGTATTTTGAGCGAACACACAACTTTGAGGATATGTCTGATTAAAAACCTGGACATATTTTGTAGTCTTATTAAAATATGAACTTCAGAAACGGCATACTGGCATCAGAATAGTTGTATAGCTCTCAAAAGCCTCGGGTGGCTAGGCTAGCATAAATATGCCAAAGTAGACAGTGCCCATGGAAAGGTAGGAATATAGAGGCTGGGGAGAGCTTGTCAGTGAATTAATCAACCAACATTGACAGATTATTCAGCATCCATTCAGCAGTATTTGTTGGGCACCCGAAGTCCATGATAGATTCTGAGAGAATATTCATATGAAAGCAGTAACAATAACAACAGACATTTACAGGAAGAACAAAAAAGTGTAAGCTATGCTCGCTGTGCTTAAGAAATACGTAATTTAGTGGCTAAGCCAAGTTAATGCCCATCCCAAGCAGGGCACGAACATATCAGGTGGGCAGCCTTGCAGTTCAGACATTAGCACCGATGGCCACCCTTCCCCACTGTGGCTAACGCTGCCTGAATCCTTCACAGCTGCCAGCCACCTGGAGGTGGAGAGGAGGTGCAACCCATCCACCCTTGCCAGCCACACACACTCTCTTGACCTGGTCATTGGGAGTTTGGAGAGAGAGGATCATTTCACAGAGAAGGTGCTTTGGCCGAATTCTGAATGATAAGTCAAATCTGAGTTGATAGAAGGGAGAGTTCTGAGGACTGGTATGTCATGTCAGTGGGAGAATAAAAGAGAAACCAGCTGGGAGAGGATGATTCCTTCTTTCTCTCTTCCTGCGTATAGACCTGAGGACCCTCCAACGTCGCTCTGGGACTGAGGGGCTGCTACTTCTAAAGCCAAGGGTTTGACATGTGTTTTCTCTCTTCATCCTGACCACAACCCCATAATAACATAGCTCCCCAGTCCCTTATCTGAAATGCTTATGGCCAGTGCATTTTAGAATTCAGAACTTTTCAGAGTTTAGAAAGGTAATGTTAGGGCATATTTCACATGTTAATGACATTCCTTCCGTGGCATGGGGCAGCATCCCATCATCAAACACATTATTACTGCTGCAGTGAAACTTACGAATGTTCACATCAGCTAGGATAAAATAAAAGACCATAAAAAGCTTTATGTCCGTTAAGGTGAGGTTTGCTGCCCAATTAGTTTTGCCACCAAACTGAGAAAAATGTAACAAGAAAAGAAAAGACAAGGGACTTCCCAGGTGGTCCAGTGGTAAAGAATTCGCCTTCTAATGCAGGGGACGCGGGTTTGATCCCTGGTCGGGGCTCTAAGATCCCACATGCTGCGGGCAACTAAGCCCACACGCCACAACTATTGAGCTCCTGTGCCTCAACTAGAGAGCCCGTGTGTTGCAAACTATAGAGCCCACACACCCTGGAGCCAGTGCGCCACAACTAGAGAGAGAGAAAACCTGCACGCTGCAACTAGAGAGAAGCCCGAGTCCGCAACGAAGAGACTGCATGCTGTAAGGAAAGATCCTGCATGCCTCAACGAAGATCCCGTGTGCCACAACTAAGACCCGACACAGCCAAAAAGATAAAGAAAATGAATAAATTTAAAAAATAAATATTAAGAAAAGGAAAGACAAAAAATTGGTTTTCGAAACTTTTGGTTTCAGAATTGCAGATTTATAACAGCTAAAGTTTATTGAATGCCTATTCTGTACCAGGCACTGTTCTTGTCCCTTTGCACTGACAACCCTATGAGACAGATGCTAATATCATCCGCATTTTAGAGGTGAGGAAACAGAGGCCCAGAGAAGGGGAGTAACTTGCCCAAGGCCACACAGCTAGTCTGCGAAGAGTTAGGATTGGAACCCAGGCAGTCCTGGCTCTAAGGACCTAGTGAAGTATTGTTACACGTGAGGCTCTAAGGCCCTAAGAGGTTAAATGACTGCTCAGATTCCTAGAGCCACGGGAAAGCTGAGATTTGAAGGTGCTGCTGATTCCCAGATCCCTGGAGTACTAGGGACTTCTCTTCCAGCCTCTGTGGTTGAGAACCAACCTAGGAGAGCTGCCTAGGGAACAGGCTCAAGTTGGCTGCAGGCCTGGGCTGCAGACATTCCAGCCCATGTGTTTTGGCAGCAGGATTTTTTTTTTTCTTCTAACTTATTGACAAGGGGCCAGTTACTCTTTACTATGAAGTTCCTACAAGTTTCTATCATGCTCTTGTAATTTGACAGTTTTAGATGAAATACTCCAAATATTAGCCTGGAAGACCTGCACTGCTGACAAATGTCGAGCTCTTCCTGGCTGATGAAAATCACATTTGCTTATATTTATTAGTCATTAGGAACTTGCATAGTATATGTGACCCCAGAAGACATGTCAGTGTGTTCTCTGGATGGCTGTCTGCCCCACTCTCTGTTTCAGGTTTGAGATTTGAGGCGAAGGCTCTCGGGAGCTGAGATGTTTAAGAAACTGTTAGGTTGTGATACTAGGCAACTGAAAACCTAATTGGAGCCAGATAACAAATAAAACAAAATAATTCAACCTTCTAACAAATATTTATTAAGCATCTACTATGTTGTAAGGCCCTGGACAGACAAAAAGGTATAAAAACCAGGTGAGGGATCCTCCAGGCTCTCTCTTACTGACAGGCTAGAGCAGCTGTTTGCAAACTTAACTAGTTTTTGAAGCATAAGAATCCTTTCTGCAAAATCAGCCTTAGGTAGAGGCTCAGTCTGTCACACAGACGAAAGCTGAGCTGCTCTGGTGGAAGCCTCAGAGGCATTGCTATGGCAACCCAGGGTCTAGATCCAAATGCAGCAATGGTTTTCAACCTTGGTTGACCATCAGAATCCTTTGTCCATCTTTTAGAAGTCTTGACACCCTGGTCACATCCCAAGTGAACATCTGGATCTCTAAGGGTTGTGTTTGAAGATCTGTATAATTCCAATCCAGCCAAGGTTGGGAGCCATTGATCTGGAAGTACCTCTTTGGAACCTCAAGGTTCTGTGGAAAGTCATTTGGGAATCAGTCTTGTCCAGCAGAATTTTCCAGCTTTGGCGAGAATGTATCAGAGTCACTTGCAGTGGGGTGGGGAAGCTTGTTAAAAGTAGAGTTGCCCAGTCTCCACTATCTCCCCTGCCTGATGGGGATTCTGTTCAGCAGATTTGTACTGTGACCTGGGTAGCTTTATTTTAAATGATTCTGATACGCTCCAGAGTTTGAGAACCACTGCTCTAGAAGGTTGGAAAAGGCATGTGTGTAAACGCCTTCCAGATAAGGCAGTGGGCTGAAATAGTAATCGTAGTGATAATGGCTACCGTTTTGGATCCGTCTCATGTACAGGCACTATGTCAAATGCACTGTAACGTTTACAGTTCACACAGCCCTATGAGGCCGATGCGGTTATTCACATTTTACAGATGAGGAAGCAGACTCGGAGGAATGAAGTGACTCACTCAAGATCACCCACTTCAGAAGCAACAGAACCAGAGTTCGAAGTAGGTCTGTCAGAGTCCGGCACTAAAGTTCTTTTCTCTGAAATGAGTATTTTTGAAATGGGTATTTTGAAAGTGAGGCTGCTCGCTTCCAGCAGGTGTAGTCCAAAAAAGCTGCTCGGAGGCTGGATAGCTTGAGACAACGTCTTGAAAAGTGGATGGGATTTGGTAGTCAAGGTTTAAAATGAACTGCATCTCTTCCTTGCGTTGTTCAGCTCTCTTACCCAGGGAAATCTTTGCATCTAGTCCTGGGTACCAGGGCAGTTCAAAAAAAATTGGAAGCCATGGTCCTTGTCCTTGACAATGAGGTAGTGGATAAGTGGCAAACTCACAAAACACTGCAAGGGCCAGAAAACAGTAGACATGTGGCCAGAGTTCAGGAAGATGGGAAATCTTTGTGCGACGGAACAGTCAGGGAATACTGCACAGAACAGGTAGGATTTGAACCTAACCTTGATGAATAAATAGAATTTACTTGGCTGGAATAGATCTGGAAACTTCTTGAGTCCACTTGCTCCCACATCAGACTTTTGTCTCATTAAAACACGCACATTCACCCTCTAAAAAAACCTTAGAAATCATGTCAATACTGATTGGAGCTCTCCCAAGGATCCTAAAGTTATTTAACCTCTCTGAACCTCAGGGGCTTCATCTTTCAAATAAGGATAATAATACTATCTATCATATGGGATTGTTGAGTAATTAAATGAAATAATATATTGTCTGGTCCATAGTAGGTGCTCAATAAATTGTAGCTTTAATGCCATTATGAATTTAGAGGCTGAGCGGTAGCGTGTTGGAGAGTTCCAGTTAGAACTCTTATTCTGCAGGGAGGATCAGGTGGAGAACTAAGACCACAGAGGAAGACAGGGAGTTGGGAACTGAGGACTAGTCCAGGAGGGCAGGACTCTGGGCAGCACAGCCTGGGTGCAGCCAGGATCCCAGGGCCTGGGCACCCTTCCCTGTGCCCTTTCCTGATGTAGCC